CTAAAGTATTTTAGGTGGGAGTCAAGCATGTACCAGGGATTCTGAGTGGCACTAAAGACAGGATGGGGCTGGAGAGAACAGGAGCTGAAGAGCCTTATCCTGCCCCACCTGTGCTCTTGTTCCCTCTGCCTTTTTAAAAGCCAGATTTCTTGAAGTGCACCTTACATATATAGTAAATTCACTCCTTTTAGTGTAAAGTTTTCTGAGTCTTGACAAACACACAAGTCGTGACCTCACAAGATATGAGAATAATGCCAGCTCCCCTCCGCATTCCTTCCTCCGCCTCTGTCATCAACTCTTCCCCCTCCCCAGCCCCTGGCAGCCCCTGGCCTGTTTTCAGCCCCTGTTGTCCTGTCATCTTCAGAATGTCAGAACATGGATTTTGTAAACAATCTTTTGGGTGTTCTTTCACTTAGCTGAATGTGTTCAAGATTCATTAGGGTTGTTGGGTGTGTTTGATGTTCATTCCTTTTCATCACTGAGTCGTATTCCATTGCATGGATGTACCTCAGTTTACCTATTCCCTGCTTAAGGATCATTTGGGTGGTTTCCCTTTTGGGGCAATTATGAATAAAGCTGTAGGTTTTGAAGATAACAATATTATTTTATAATTTAAAACACAACTTATATTTAGCTCTTCCTGTCCTGAAGCTCGTTGCAAATAGTGTATCTGCTGGGCCACGTTCAAAGACTGGGGTCCCTGACGACACGGTCCCTGACAAAAAGCAGTGTTTGGTGGCGGGGGGTGCGTGGAAAGAGAGACACGAATTCAGAGCTTCGGAAGTGCAGTAAAGCAAAGCGCTCCCAGAGTGATTGGGAAACGGGGCTGGCAAGTCAGTCTGTTATTTACTCTACCTGTTCTGAGCTCACCAGCCCCTAAGCCCACCCACTGCTCAGGGAGAGGGTGGGCCTCTGGAACTGCGCATCTGCAGAGTCTTCCCGGGGGAGGGGTAGAGTCTGCCCCTCACTGCGGGAGGCCTCCCTGGGAGACGGTGTGAAACAGGAGGGGGAGGAGACGAGGTCGGGGTAGCCCTGCACCGACCCTGCCAGTGCGGGGAGGGGGTGCTGGGCCAGTCACCTAGCCGCGGAGGGCTCCATTTCACTGAATCCCTTTGCGCCTTGGATTTTCTCTCTTTACTTCCTTGCCCATTGGCAATTTGCTGTTCATTAGCACCTCTGCCGAAGACCCGGGGGGCAGCACCAGAATTCCCACCTTAACCGGAGAGCCGCCTCGCACAGGACGAATGTGGGAGACGAGTGGAAAGCAGCCACAAAGAAATGGAGTGGGAGGGTCGTCTTTAAAATTCACTCCGTTTTGCCGGGCGCAGTGGCTCACGCCTGTAATCCCAGGATTTTGGGAGGCCGAGGAGGGTGGATTACCGGGTCAGGAGTTCGAGACCAGCCTGGCCAATATGGCGAAACCCTGGGTCTGCTAAAAAAAAAAAAAAAAAAAAAAAGACTAAAAATAAAAAAAAATTAGCTGGGCGTGGTAGTGCGCACCGGTAGTTCCAGCGGTTGGGGAGGCTGAGGCAGGAGAATTGCTTGAACCCGGGAGGCGGAGGTTGAGCCAGGATCGCGCTACTGCACTCCAGCCTGGGCCACAAAGCAAGACTCCGTCTCAAAAAATAAAAAAGTAACTCCGTTCAGAATACAGTGAACAGCCTTTTGACAGAAGAAGGGCCATCTAGCTATCCCAAGCCCCTTGCCTCCCTATCCTGTGGCTGCTGTTAGAAGAAACCGATGATTTCTAACAATAGGAGCCTCCTAGCTCGGGAGGGAGGCGGTGTTTGGAGGGAGCGGCGCTCTCGGTGGCCACCCGCTGCGCTTGGGGTGGGAGGGCTGGTCGTGGAGGCCACTTTCCTGTCCACCGACGGGGAAGCTTGGCCTGTCTGAAGGGGTCCTCGCCTGAGCCGAGGACGGCGGGACCTCCGGCCCCAGCACAGTCCCCCTTTCCGAGGACCCCGGGTCCCCGCCTGCGGGCGAGAGGCTGTTTTCGCACTTGGGCTTCGCGCTTCCTTGACACTTTCCTGTCTTTAGCTCGCCGCGCCAGGTCGCGGCGCCTGCCTGGGCGTCTTCTCCAACTCCGGGTCACCTCGGGGCGAGGGCAAGGGTGCCGGCCGGTGGGGCTTTCCAACCACCACGGTGGCGGGGGGAGCTTTGTGGAAACGGGCGGAGCTGGCTCAGGGAACGCCAGAGATCTAGGGCACCCACCAGTCCCCTGATGTGCGCGTGGAGGTCTTGGGCCTGGCTGTGCTCCAGCCGCGGGTGTCCCCACCATCAGCACTGACCTCCAGGGGAGCTGGGCGAGGGGAGCCCTGGACTCTGGGTTGACCTCCTCCCTTTCGGGTTCTCTCTCCTCCCACCCAGACCCGGCCCTTTCTGGCCTCCTTCCTCTCCGAGGAGGTCCCGGGCTCTGATTCCTAGGCAAGTCCCAGCTTGCCTTCTTTCCCAGGATCTGTGGTCTCCTTTCTCTTGTCTCTGCATCCTCTGCCCATCCATTCCCTGCTTTGGTTTTTCTATAACACTTCATCATTCAACACTACGTATTTGACTTATTTATTGTCCGTTTTTCTCTTATGGCATGTAAGGGCCTTAAGATAGAATTCCTCTCTATGTTGTTCCTTGCCTGTAATGTTCCTGGCACAGAGTAAGTGCTCAGTAAATGTGAAATGAATGAATGACTGGGTGAATGAATCCCCATCTCCCTCTCCGTTGCTGGCCACTCTTTTCTCTCTGCCCTGGTCTCTGCCTGCCTTCCTCTGTCTCCCTCCCTATTCTCTCCCCCTTCTTGCTCCTCCTCCTCCACTCCTCACCCTGCATTTGTTTTCTCTATCCTGCTGACTTGGTCCCTCCATCTGTCCAGGATTTACAGGTTGGGTTCCGTGTCCCTTGGAAAGGGTGCACCTGGCTCCTGGTCAGGCTTCACCCCCAGAGCCCTGCGGCCTCCCTCACCAATCTAACAGCCTGAGCATCTAGCCAGGTTCCCAGCTCAACCTCCCACATCCTTACTGTGCACAGGGAAGTCCCTTCTTCTTGCCGCCCCCAGGACCCGGGGACCCCGGGGTGTCCTTAGGAGCAGCCTAGATTTGGGCTGTTGGTTTGTAGGCGGTAGCAGCTCCACTGGTGGGTGAAGCCACCGGGATTCGTGCCATCCAGGGTGGGCAGTGTTCTACTCTGAGAAAAGGCAATCCTGCACCCTGTGCACCCGGTCCCTTGAGGAGAATGTTTCATTCTTTATCTCCCAGCAACTCTGATGGATGCTATTAGCAGCCTTTTTAAAATTTCAATCAGTCTCCCAACATTTATTGTGCACCTACTGTAATCCTTGTTCTGGGCAGACCAGGATTTTGGTCACTGCCTTCACAGAGCATACCTTTTGGGATGTGTAGAGGGGAGGCGAGTGTGTGTGTGTGTGTGTGTGTGTGTGTACAGCCAACCCCAGATAAATTACCTCATGGCTTCAGGGGGCACAGACGAATGAATAAAATGCAAGATCCCTTTCCTAGTCCAAGGATGTTAACCATGATCTTGCTCTGGGCTCAGCGCAAACAGCACTGCGACTTCAGAAGTCTAACTGGGGAGTAGCGAGGCCCCACCTGGGAAAGAATTGGGGCCTATGTCACCAAGAGGGATCCCAGAGGAGGCAGTCCCCGAGGAAAGGGCCCCTTACAGACTCAAAGAGGCTGCAGTCTGGGAACAGGACCCCCTGTGGCCTCCGTAAGTGCTGGCCACTCTTTCGGGCTGCTATTGTCCCCAGGTCCTTGGATGAGGAGGGAGAGAGGGAGCCAGGTTGGCAGTAGGAAAAGTAGCATACTTGAAGGGGCCAGCGTGGGCACTGTCTCCAACGCTGGTGGCCCTCAACCTGCTGAAGCCCCTGCCTAGACTTGCAGGCACTGGGAGCAGGCTTCAGTCCTGGCCTCAGCTACACTGGACCTGAAGAGGCCCTCCCTATTCAAAAAGGCTCTGGCATCTGTCCTGAACTAAGCAAAAATGTTAAGAGATTTCTTTTCACTTGTTTTCCCCTTCCGGTGCGGAAGATATAAACTTTTTTAAACATCGATTTTATTTTTTAAATGTCAAATATGCTCATTAAAGAAAACTTAGAAAAATTCAAAAGACAGTTTTTAAAACGAGTTTTTCATGGTAGAAAGCCAATATTAAATAGAATGGGAAAAAAGAACTAAGATTTAGGATTGCCGGTTCTAGAACTGCAGTTTCGCCCTTGCTTTGCCACCTCGGACAAATGCCTTAACCTCTCTGAGCCTCCGTGTGCTGGTTTGTAAGGTGAGGGCGATAACACCTTCTCTACCTCCCTCTTGCTAATAATTTTGTTGTTCCCTAGAGAAAAATGGGATTTGAAAGTGTTCTGTAATCTGGAAATGACTATAAAATATGAGGGGGTGTGTCACAAACTCTGGGCCACGGGGCCAGAAGCGCCGGGAAGCACTTTCGGATGTCTGCGAGGCAGAGCCTGTATTCGCCTTGCAACGCAGAGTAGCAATTTCGAAAGCAAGACCATCAACAAGCGCTGCTCCTTCCTCTCCCGTCATCTGTAGCCGGCTGCGAGCACAGTTCCGGGGAAACAGGGCGGGGGGCGCTACGTCCACCCCGTATCCCCAAGAATTCTGAGTGTCCGAGGAACGGACCTTCGGACGTGAAGGAAGGTAGGTCTACGTGGCCTTGCAGCTGAATTCGTTCACCGTTTTTCCTTCCGCAGGGACGCGTCCTGCTCTGCACCCTAGTTCTCCGCGCCGCGCCCGCGGGGGCTCATTCAGGGCACTGCGGACCGCGAAGATGAGGACCTAGAGTCGCCCAGGAAAGGAGACTCGCAGGCGGGCGCCCAGACCCGGCGCGGGAAGCCAGGGCCGCGTAGGGGCCGACCCGGCATTCGTTCTGTGCGGGTCACCTTGAAGGTCCGTCTGGAACCCTCGCAGACAGGTCCGCAGAGGCGCGTCCATATCTTGGAGGAATTCGTTCCATAGAACGAGGTTTGACTTCTGTAGTCCCCTCTCTGGGGTTTTCTGGTGTTCGATTATAAGACTCTGGGGTCCTTGGTGGCGCCAATTTTTTTCAGATGTTGCTTTTGTTCCGGTGCAGCGGCCAAGATCATGGTCTCAGACGTTGCACTTGGTTTAAAGCAAACTCGGACACGTCCCACCAAAAAGTCGCAGGAACTCGACGTTAGGAAACCCTCAGCGGTTTCACTGCAAGTTCCAGCATCCACCGTTTATTTTTATTTTGGGGGAAAACCAGAGTTTAGATTCCTCTGTACATGATGCACAGCCTACAATTTGCTTCTTCTAGGGTTTGGACCAGCTCAAGTCCACAATCCTTAATGGGACAGGGTAATGTAATTTACTCTTGTCTTGGAGATTTTTTTTAAAAGAGTACAGTACACCTAAGTAATTCTTATTTGTCTAAAATCTGATGACCTGACGCTGGGTCATTAGACCCAGGCTTTTGGGGGCGGAGAGGTGGTCAAAGATGTTTACAGTTAAATTCTCTTCCTAGACTATGGGAAAGGAAAGCCGAGAGAGGACGTGAATAGGGGTTGGGCCACTCTACCCAGGCCAGCGTAGGCATATCTTCCTTAAAAATAGCCCGGAGGCCGGACCTCAGAGCCTCCACCCGCTGCCCCCCTTCCCAGCGGCCTCGGGATTGAGAGAGAAGCCTGGGAACCGAGAGACACAGCCGATAAACCTCCTCCAGCCGGCGGGCCAGCGAGGCCTTGAAATGCTCCCCGCTCCTGGCAACGTGCAGCCAACCTGCCGGCTCCCGCGTGGCCTAAGGGAGGGAGGGGGCGAGCAAAGGAGGAAAGGAGGGAAAAGGAAACGCCCTCAAAAGAGCAGGCTGCTTGCCAACCCCTGGTCTGTCCTTGAGCGGAGGCCTTGGGGAGAAAGTTGGGGCTTTCTTCTTCCTACAGGAAGAAGCCTCAGGAAACAAAATTTTCTGTCCCAGGCGCCTTCCAGAGACAGTGAATATTCCTGGGTCAGGGAAGCCCAGGTTTCAGCCCACTAGGAGTGCCGGCGGAAGGTGTGGGTAAAGGGCCGGGGTGGTGGAAGGTGGTAGAGGTGGTGGCCCGGGGCTGGCAGAAGCGGGGGAGCAGGGAATCTGGGGTTCCTCGCCAGCAAGCCCCCAGCAAAAGCAGGCGATTCCACCCAGGGGTGTGGCAGCAGCCACCGACAGCACAGCCTGTTATAGCTCCACTAGTGTACAGAGGAGGGGATTGAAGTTTAGGGAGGGCGAGGAGGACGAGGGTGAAGGCTCGCTGTGGCCCATCTGGCACTGCTCAGAGAAGCCCGTGTCCGAGCGGCCCGTGTCCTTGGGTGTCGGGAGGACGCTCAGATGGTGCCCCGCCAGACACTAAGCCCCAAGTCCCTGGCTTGTTTCTAAGAAAATTCACTGCCTGGTCCCTCAGACTCAGCTGTTTTCGCCCTTTGACGGTCGCGCGTGGGTGGTAGCTCTGGGACTGGGACCTCGAGCAGTGCTGGAGCCAAAGATTTCCTCAAAGGAGAGGCCGGGGCAGCTTCCCACTCTCCCAAGCCCAGACTTCCCACTCTCCAGAAAGGCCTTGCAGGCCCCTGCCGCAGGTCTTGGCTTCGTGCCTCTCTTGCTCACCCCCACGAGGATGAGAGCGGGTTTCAAATCGGGAGCAAGGGTGTGCTTCCTTCTCCGATTGGAGTGTGCTCCGGAGACCACTTTTCCCCAGCGCTGGCCTCCGAGATCCCCAGGACCCCTTCAGCCTTAAGTTCCCACGTCTCGGGTCCGTGACGCCAGTTCTACTAAGGAGCAGGCTAGGAGTTCGGGGAAGTCGGAGAAGAAACCCTAAATGGGCGGCCCCAGCTTCCGGGGCGCAGGCCAGCCGGGGTCTCCAGGGAAGGCTGCAGTGCGTCCAGCCTGCGCGCAGGCCTTTCGCCGCTGGGCGGCCCACGCGGCCTCAGTTTCCTCTCCTCTGTTTGGGCCCCGGTGAACCTCCGCACCTCTCATTCAGGGAAGAGAATTCCCCGCGCAGCTGCGCTGGTTTCTTCCTCTGGGATTTTCCTGAGAATCCCCGGGAGTTGGCCACGATCCCACCGGGAGTTTCCTTCTACCCAGCTTCGAGTCCCGGCCTCGTCTTTAGAGCCCGGGTTGCCTTCACTCAGGCCGGGAATCCACGACCGATTTCCAACTGCGGAAGCGGGTGGCGTCCCTAGTCTGCTTTCGAAGCAACACGGGTTTCGTGCAGGGTGGTATCCCTCCCCCTCCCCCATCCCTCTAATCTGGTTTGAGAAGCCTGTGCTGGAGAGAAAAACGCGGGCCAAAAAAAAAAAAAGTTTAACCGAAAGCCTGAGAGCCACCCGCCGGCTGTTATCTGGGGCTGAAGGCTGCGGTAATCGATGGGTTATTTTTACGCGGTAATAGGGCTCTGTGATTGCTCTATTAACCTTTAGACCTGTCGGAGGGACTCTCTGGTTGGCAGCCCCGCTGCGCAGGGGCCTCCAGGCCCTGACGCCGACTCTCAACTCAGGCCTGACACATTTCCCTCCCCCATTCCGGAGAGGGGACTGCAGCCCCTGGAGAGCCCCCTCCACGGAGGAGCTCCCCCGGACCGCCGGGCTCCCCGGCCCTTGCTACGTCCCTTGGATTGGTGCAGCGGCCGCCGCAGGCTGCAGAAAAAACGGAGAAAGATTAAAAGACAGGAGGCCACAGGATATGAGAAGCGTCCCCAGGAAGGGATGCACACTTTGCGTAAACACATAAAATAGAGGGCTGACCCTCAGCTCCCGACCATCTCCCTGGGCTTTTGGGAAGGCAAAAGGGAGGCTTCGGTCTCTGCGCTCTGATTTAAGGAGGCAGTCTGGGTGTCTCCTGAACCTCCCCGGAGTCCGGTGCTGGGTCGATCCCCACTACCCCTGCCCAGAAACTTGCGTCCAGCCCCGGGTACCCCGGGTGATCCAGTACCCCACACGAGATCGGGAGTTGAGCCCAAGAGGTCATCTTCCCCTCTACTGGCCCCGCCCCTCTCCCACCGCGCGGGATGAGGCCCACGGGAAGGGGGGCGGGGAGGGAGAAAAGGAACTCATTAATAAAGCTGACCCTGGGCATCACAGCGAACCCAATCGACCTCTGGCTGGGCTGCGGGTGAAGCCCCTAGCCCTGGCGGTAACACTGGGCGTTTTCCGCGGAGACCCCAGCGCCTGGACTTTGCCTGGTGGGGGAGCTTTCCGCCCAGTCCCGCAGCCCGGCGCCCAACTGAGGTGCTGCCGGTGCCGCGCACCCCCGCCCCGCCCTTGCACGTGACTCCCACAGGCCAGTCAGCGCCCGCGGGCCGACGCGCTGGGCCGGGGACCCGAGCTGCGAGCTGGGGACTCAGAGGCGGCCGGCGCAGAGGCCGCGAGAGGCTTCGTCGCCGCTGCAGCTCCGGGGGTGCCCAGGGGAGCGCGCGCGGAAGCTCCAGGCCGGGCAGGTAGGGCTTTTTTCTTTCTTCGCTCTTTCCCGCGGTCCCCCAAACTCGGAGCTCCTCGGCTCCACCGGTCTGGAGGTAGAGAAGTAGCCAGTGGGAGGAAAAGAGACATCCACTACCCGTTTCCTCGAAATTGGCTTACCCGGCTCTGCTTTTGACTTTGCCTTAGCAACGTCTTTAAGACAAAGTAAGATCTGGGGGCAAAACAGGGAGGAATGTTGGAAGCGCCTTTGGATTCTTTCCTTGTGGACTTGAACGCTTTCAGTCCCTGCCCCGGGTGCACATTCTCCCGCCCTTGTTTGCACTTCGCAGGCCGGGGCCTGGGTGGTGATGGTGGCCGCGTGAAGTTGCCGAGACCGACAGATACGGGAGAGGTCGCACGGCCTCTGGTACGAGGAGGGAAGTAGACGGAGGCGTGTCGCCCACCAGCGACTCCGGGGACGCCGGGCAGCGGTGCCAGGCAGCGCCGCAGGGCCTAGGGGGTCCCGGGAGGTGCTCCGAGGCGCGGGGCGGCTGCTGAGCGGCTGGACTGTTGATGGCCTTCCTGGCCAGCCTCCTCGCCCTCGGGGCTGGGGTCCAGGGACTGAATGCCCTTCTGGAAGCTCACCACCCCACCCACCCGCGTTGCTTCTGCCTGAAACTGGCCGAGGGCCCGAACCTGGACCGGAGTCGCGACTTCCCTCCGCCGGTGACGGCGCTGCCCGTATCTGCGGCGTTTTGTCGCTCGGCTTTGGGCTCAGGACCACCGTGGGCAGAGGGGGATGCCGGGGTGGTGGACTGCCACGAGGTTGAGGAAAGTAGGGGCCTTTTGGTTGGGGAAGAGCGTGGTGAGGAACCCACGGCCAGTGGAAGCCCAGGGGCAGTGCGGCCCGCACCGCAGAGGTCGGGGAAGCGCTTCGGGCAAGTGTTTCCTGGGCTCCCAGAAAAGGAAGGCATCGACAGCAGGTTTCAGGCTTTTAAAGAAGCACCGGGGTGAGGAGGTAACGCTCCGCACGAGTCTGTCTCCTCCCTGGCTGCGGCCCGCTTGGTGGTGCCGGCTAGCTTGTGACCGTCCTCCTTGCTGCAGGCCAAGAACCGAGGCTCCAGCCCAGGTCAGCGAGAAGTGTCCTGGAAAGGGAAGGGGACATTTGGGGGCCTGTAATTCTCCCATTCTCAAAACTAGATCGGAAGAGGGCTGTTGGTTGATCCTTGAAAGGAGAGCACATTTCCTGTGAGCCTGCGAATTTGGGGTGAACTGGGGCAAGTGATCAGAAGAAGAGCGAATACTCCCAGATTCCGGCAGTCTCAGGAGCTGCTGGGCTTTCTCCACCGGCTGCAGGATCCAGGATCAATTTCAGCAACCAGGTGTTTTGCAAAAGTAGCTAATTTCTTGTTTTTCCAGAAAGGTATGGAGGGGTATTTTCTCCACCTTCTACTGTCCTAGTAATCCAACCAAGGCCACGTATCAGCCATTTGAAAAGGCAGCGAATGTGATAAATACAAATATTAGATTTGTAACATTTTTGGTATTTACATTTCAAAGTCTGCAAGTTGCTACCTGTATGTATACTGGAAGTTGGATTACAAAATTCTGAATCTCCTTTCTTTTCCGTAGTTATGAGAGGAAAAAAAATTGTATTATCTTGGAGAACTATAGGAGTTGAGTATTACAGAAAATACATTGAAATAGATCAGCGACTTGATTTAAAAATTAAAATACTGGATCTTTTATTAAGGCAAACCCATAGTTCTCTAACTTTATTTTCAAAAGGAAAAGCTGGTGACCTCAGGTCAGTTTTTTTGTTTTTCCTGACTATTATCTAACCAAACTTGCTGGAATGAACTATTCACCAAACCAATAGTTTATTGCATATTTTGAAAGCAAATAAGCTTTTAGGAGTTACCATGTGACTATGTAACACAATACTATTAATTCCATTATGATTGCTAGTGATGTTGCAAAAATGGTGAAAAGTACTATGTAGTATGTATTAAAGATTCCATTTCCAGTTTTTTACAATAACAAAGATGATCATTTATTATAGTACATACATCTGACATACTTTCTTGTGTTACATTAGAAATCTGTAGTAATAGTCAACTATTATTTAGAACTCTCCTTTTGCCTTTTCTGACACTTTTATAAAAACCTGCTATAAGTGCTTTACAAATATTAATTTATAATCTTCACCCCTAAGCTTCATGATGACTCTACAAAATAGGTACCTTTAATATTTGCATTATGCAGAGGAGGAAACTGAGGCACAGAGAGGCTAAGTAATTTGTCTAAAGGTATTCCTTTTTTAAGTGTCAGAGCCTGGATTCAGTATAGAGTTAATATCCTTGTAAGTCTGTTATTGAAATAAAAAAGAAACCGTTGTCAGGAGTAGTTGCCTCTTCTTCAAGAGAGAAATGGAAGTGCGGTGGACAGCCTCAAGCCCTTGGAGCCCAACTGATCCCATCCCCTTCCCCCACCCCTTCTGATTGTACTTTGATCTTAGACAAGTTTCAAAAGTTTCCAGTGCTTCAGTTCCCTCTTGTAAAATGAAGGGAGACACCTGTACTTAGCAGAGCTGTAGAGAAAAGGACCTAGAGGTAATTCAGACAGCAGGTAATTCAGAAAGTGGAGCTCTTATTTTATCAGAAAAGCTGCCTGATAATATCAAAACGCAGGATCCTAGGAAGCATATAATCAAGTTCCACAAACTGCTCTTTCCCCAAGTGTCCACGTGGGTGTGATGATTCTGCCTGTGGGTTTGATTCTACATGAAGAACCCCTTCAGTGAACTAGAATGGTCCACTGGATTATTCTGTAAAGCGACATTGTACGTTCCTTTCACTTTTCTGGTTCTGACATACAATTTGGAAAACATCTAAATTATAACTATTTGCAAGAAACCTGTAGCTTATCCAATTTGACGTCCACATTGTGTAGTGTATGGATGAAGTTTCTCAACCCTCCATGAGACTTAGCAGACACCACTGTTCGCTTATAAACATTTGGACTCTACTTCTATATATATATTTTAAGATTACAAACAAAACTTTGTTAGGTCACTGTTTGGTAAAAACTTTGTCCTTGTGCCCCCAAGGACAATATAAAGTTCTTTCTAGGCCAAGAATGCCTGGGGAGAGATGGGGAGAACAGAGGAGATGAGAGATTTGTTGGATCCCAGGCACGCTGCATTAACCCCAAACTTTTGGACTTAGATTGTGCCAAAAATATGCTTGCAGAATAAGGTAACATTAAAGACCTCTGGGACAAGCAATACAAAATTAATTGACCAAGATCACAACCAGTAAACTTCATGCCCAAGACCCGGGAAGCCCCTGGGAAGCCCCTGGTCCCCGGGGCGCTCCTCCCCATGCTTGCCTGGGACTCCTGATCCAACGCCTGCACAAAACAAAGGCCGCTTCCCAGCACCGCACTGCGGGGCCTCCCCAGCTGCACCCCCAAACCCCCGTGGTGACTTCGTTTGCAGCGTGGATGAAGCAACCAGGCAGGTGGAGAGTGGGTTCTGAAAGTTCTGGAATGAACCGGTGTCTCTTTTTGTCGTTCCTCCTTTAGGACCCCGGCTGCAGCGAGGAGAAAGGAGCCAGCCTAGCCCTCCGCCTTGGAGCCAGCCCAGCACTTCTGCGCCCGCCCGCCCGTAGCCGCGGGTGTCCTGGAGGCCTCACGGTGGGACGAGTGGGGGACCTGAAGGCCCGTGCGCCACCTCCAGGCCTAGACGCGCCCTCCGTCTTCTGCCCTGCATAGGCGCTCCGGACCTCCAGGCACTGGGTGAAGTCAGCTGCGCCTGCGTCGCCTTCCGGAACCACCAAAAATTCAAATTAGGATTTTCCGGAGTCAACAGGAGCTTGGAGTCTTTTGCTCAATGCCGGATTTAATATGTATATATTTTTAAGCGATTTGGTTTTTTCCCTTTGACTTTTGATCTTCGAGACAGCTCCTTTCGCGCACATTATTGTCGCCGTCGTTTTCTCTCCCCGCGTGGCTCCTTGACCTGCGAAGGAGTGGGAGGACCCTGAAAGCCGGGAGTTCGCCGGGGCGATGTACCAGAGCCTGGCCATGGCCGCTAACCACGGGCCGCCCCCCGGGGCCTACGAGGCGGGCGGCCCCGGCGCCTTCATGCACAGCGCGGGTGCCGCGTCCTCGCCGGTCTACGTGCCCACGCCGCGGGTGCCCTCCTCCGTGCTGGGCCTGTCCTACCTCCAGGGCGGAGGCGCGGGCGCAGCGTCCGGAGGCCCCACGGGCGGCGGCTCGGGGGCGGCCCCGTCGGGTGCAGGGCCGGGGACCCAGCAGAGCAGCCCGGGCTGGAGCCAGGCCGGAGCCGACGGAGCCGCCTACACCCCGCCGCCGGTGTCGCCGCGCTTCTCCTTTCCCGGGACCACCGGGTCCCTGGCTGCTGCCGCCGCTGCTGCCGCGGCCCGGGAAGCTGCGGCCTACAGCAGTGGCGGTGCCGCGGCGGGCGCGGGCCTGGCTGGCCGCGAGCAGTATGGGCGCGCCGGCTTCGCGGGCTCCTACTCCAGCCCCTACCCGGCCTACATGGCCGACGTGGGCGCGTCCTGGGCCGCGGCAGCCGCCGCCTCCGCTGGCCCCTTTGACAGCCCTGTCTTGCACAGCCTGCCCGGCCGGGCCAACCCCACCGCCCGACACCCCAATCTTGGTGAGTAGGGGCGCAAGGGCGCGTGGGTGGGTCTTGAGCCCTGGTGGGGACCCCTCGTTTTTCATGAATGCCTGCGTTGAGCTGGGGAAGGTCCTTGAAGGCCTGAAGTTTCCAGGGCAGGCAGAAGCCAGTGCGGGGCTGGGGACACGCAGCCCCTGGAGACTGGCTTCTGTGCTGGGGGCCGGACCTGCCTGTCCGGGCCTCTTCTGAGACCGTGGCGGGGTCCGAGTGCGGCCTCCCGGGAGCCCCGGACGTCAGCCGCGGCCACGCCGTACTGTGGGTGACGTGGGAGGCCAGCGGGCTACCTGGAGAGCCTGGGGCAGTGGCCCGGGATCCCTGCGTGGAAGGCGCTGGAGATCGCTGGGTTTCTGCCTCCATTTCCTCCCCGCCAGCTCTCGGGCCACCGCGGGGAATTGATGACAGTAGTTTGGACCTCAGACCTTCTGGGCCATTTGGCGGCCCAGTTGGAGGATCCCTCAGAGTGGCAGATGATTTTCCTGTCGGGGGTCTCACACCGAGAACAAAGGAGGGATGGAGCAAAGGAGACGCCGGGGAGATGCGCCGAACGGGAGCCGGCACCGTGCGGGTGTCTCCTGCCGGACGCGTGGGCGCATCATGCGGGAGGCAGGGGCGGACCCCCGTCAATGCCCAAGAACACAGAGACCAGAGGGGCTTGTTTATGACGCCCAAGTTAAACGGAGACTGCAGTCGTTTGCACACGTGGAGCCTCCTCGCGCGGGCCAGGGTTGGAAATAACCGTTGTGGTAGGTTCCCTGCAGGGTTTGCCTCCACCGTCGGACAGGGAGGGACGGCAAACAGGTCTCAGCCTCCACTGATTTACAAATAAACGCAGCGGGATCTGAGAAGGGGCCTGGGCACAGGGGCTGGGGGAGAAAGGGAAGTGGCCACACCTAGTTCAAAATGCAAACGACCTCTGGAATGTCGGGAAGGGACGGAGGAGTGAGTTTGGATTGAACCCACCCTGTGGGGGAGGGGAAGCCCGGATTTGAAAAGCAGAGCTCGCGTTTATTGACCACATACTAAGTGCTAAATCCTTCTGCATTTGTTCTCACTTTGGAGAGTAAAGGCTGCCCCGGCCAAGTTTCCAGTATTGGGCTGGCTCCGAGAAGGGCCCTGGCTTTGAAGCGTTTTTAAATTATCCTCTGGCCCTGGGTGGCCAGGGAAGGTCCCCGGGGGTACATCCAAATACACATCACCGGCAAACTGATTAACCCTGGAAGTGACGCCGAGGCCCCATCTGTGGCTCCTGCGTTCCCCTCCCCCTCACCCCTCTTGGGGGAGCCAGACGGCCACCCCCAGGGGAGGAGGGCCCGCCGAGCCTCTGCGACCTTTGCTCGATAGCTGCGGCATCTCCACACAATGGCGCCCAAAGGCGGGAGTGCGGGGCAGGGGGTGGGGCCCGCCCTGGTCCTGCGCGCTGAAGGAGGAGTCATCTCTCTCCAGGGCCCTCTGGGGCCTCTGACTTAAAATAGGGAGGACTGGGTCAGGAGATCGAGACTATCCTGGCCAACATGGTGATAGCCCATCTCTACTAAAATAGAAAAAAAAAAAAAAAAAGAAAATTAGCCTGGCATGGTGGTGCGCGCCTGTAGTCCCAGCTACTCGGAAGGCTTAGGAAGGAGAACCACTTGAACCCAGGAGGCCAAGGTTGCAGTGAGCCAAGATCGTGCCACTGCACTCCAGCCTGGATGACAGAGCGAGACTCCGTCTCAAAAAGAAAAAAAAAGTAAAAGAAGGAAGGAAAGGAGGGAAGGAAAGAGGGAAGGAAGGGAAAGAAGGAAAGGAGGGAAGGAAGGGAAGGAAAGAGGGAAGGAAGGAAGGAAGGAAGGAAGGAAGGAAGGAAGGAAGGAAGGAAGGAAGATCATGTGACTACACGCAGTGTTCAGATTTTAAAATGTCAGCCATGCCATGTAGAGGCGGCTGAAACAAGGGATATTTCCCAAATTCCTGTGTCAGCAAAAGGCAGCTGACCCCTCTGAGCATCTCCCTGCCAGAACTGCCACCTGTCTTCTCTGGGCTCTTCTCTGATACCTCATAAAGTCCACAGCCTTTGGGGTTGGGCCTAGAGGGTGGATTTTCCCTTCTGCACACAGCCAAGTGTTTTGGAAGAGGTGCGGGCTGTCCCGAAGAGGGAACACAGGGCACGTTGAACTTGCTGGCTTTCATATCTTCGAGGTGTTCTGCAGGTGGCACTTACATAAAAGCAGCTGAAGTTAAAAGCAGCATATATGACCAGGCACAGGGCCGGGAGTTCAAGGCCAGTCCTGAGCAAAATAGTGAGACCCTGTCTTTACAAAACACATTTAAACATTAGCCAGCCGGGCACGGTGGCTCACACCTGTGATCCCAGTACTTTGGAAGGCTTAGGCTGGCGGATCACCTGAGGTCGGGAGTTCAAGACCAACATGGCTGTCTCTACTAAAAAAAAAAAAATTAGCTAGGCCTGGTATTGCGTGCCTGTAGTCCCAGCTTTGGAAGCTGAGATAGGAGGCTCACATGAGCCCAAGACCACTGTACTCCAACCGGGGTGACACAGTGAGACCCTGTCTCAAAAAAAAAAAAAAAAAAGGGCAGTGCATGTGAATGTGCTTTTTATATATTCTTCCCAACACTTGGGCCCTCCTACCTGCCTGGCAACTTTAGTGAGGACCAGCACCAGATCCTAGCTGGCCTGGTAATGGAGGGAAGATGAGAACTGACCCCAGCTCTCTGAGCCGTTCCCACTGAGCCCTAAGATGGCCAGACGGTGTGGTGGGAGGAGCACAGGGGTTTAAAGTCAGGCAAACCTAGAGTCAGTTTCAGGAGCCTCGTGTCATCTCGGGCAAGTTACTCCTCTCAGTCTCATGTCTTTTTCTGTAAAAGGGGATCATCATAACTATTTTTAGTGATACCTTAAATTAGAAAAATAAGGTAAGACTTGTGAAGAATTTGGCTTTGGCCCTTTGTAAATGATGGTTATTTTATTGACTAGCGAATCACTGTCATGTAGAGTTACCTATGTTGCTGGTATGCCCAGGACTGAGGGTTTTCCCAGGATTTGGATCATTAGTGCTAAACCTGGGACAGTCCCCAATGACACAGATCGCTGGGCATTCAATGTGAAACAGGGCGTGACCCATCATTGTGGGTTGGTAATGAGCTGAAAGCAAGGAGAAGCAGCAAAGATGGTTTTTTTCCTCTGTCCGTGAGACTCGAAGTTATCACCTAAGTGCTACCATCTGCCTTTGGTCTTGAAGGGTGAATAGGAGTTTGTCAGGGAAAGAACCAGCAATTTCTTTTAAGAAAGAAATATTGAAGGCCGGGTGCGGTGGCTCACATCTATAATTCCAGCACTCTGGGAGGCTGAGGTGAGTGGATCACGACGTCAAGAGATTGAGACCATCCTGGTCAACATGGTGAAACCCCGTCTCTACTAAAAATACAAAAATTAGCTGGGCATGGTGGTGCACGCCTGTAGTCCCAGCTACTTGGAGGCTAAGGCAGGAGAATTGCCTGAACCCAGGAGGCGGAGGTTGCGGTGAGCCGAGATTGCGCCATTGCACTCCAGCCTGGATAACGAGCGAAACTCCGTCTCAAAAAAAGAAAAAAAAGAATAAAGAAATATTGACCATTTTATAGGGGGGAAAAAAGAAATAAGAGGCCAGGCACAGTGGCTCACAGCTGTAATCCCACACTTAGAGGCTGAGGTGGGAGGATTGCTTGAGCTCCAGAGTTCAAGACCAGCCTGGACAACATAATAAGTCACCATCTCAAAAAAAAAAAAAATTAGCTGAGCATGGTAACACATGCCTGTAACTCCAGCACCTGGGGAGGCTGATGTGGGAGGATCGCTTGAGTCAGGGAGGTTGAGGCTGCAGTGAGCTGTGATTGCACCACTGTACTCCTACCTGGAGAACAGAGTGAAGACCCTGGCTCCGAAAAAGAAAAAGAAAGAATATACCCTTGTTTTCTAATATTTCATGGAGTACCCATGAAATAATACAGTGCAGCCTGACCTTTCTTTAAATAATATATTTGTCACTATAGGTAAAAACTATACACACTAATTCACCCTTAACTCAGAAACTTTTTAATTTCAGTAAGGAGAAATAAGAGAACACTTTTATTTTTCTATGTAGCTGCTGTAATTTTAACCATATCTTGCCATAGTTCTTATGTTGGTTATTTGAATAGGGCAAAAATCAAAATAATAAAAGTTAACACCGGCCTCCATAAAGCCCTGAACTTAGTTTGGAAGTAATAAGTGTGGGCTGACTGCAATGTATGTGAACTTTAATTCACTCCAAGTTCCATATGAGCTACGACCCTAAAACAAATGAGAAAATCACTAGTTCGGCTGCTTGAATGGAATTATGTGACCTTACTGAGGGCAGGTACAGAGTCTTACTCATTTAAGTGCCTGGCAAATGTGGGGCACTTAGCAAATATTTGCATAGGGATCTTGGTGGTAATTGCCCCAGGACTCTGCCCTGCCTGGGTCCAACCACACGGAATGGCTGCGTGAGTCCTTTAAGAAGCAAACTTGAAAGCCCTAGGGAAGGGTGGGCAGGATGGAAGAGGGCTCTTGAAACTTACTGGAGGAAAGTAGGGCTTTTAGGCTGGAGAAGTCACTGGGTGGATAAAAGCAAGATATGGAGTATGACTGTCCAGATTTCTAAAACATGCACACAGACAAAATCCTTTTAACTGTGTCTTATTACTCAAGGTGAGCAGATATTAGATGCGAGAAGAACACTCGTAGGTGATTATAGTTGTGTGGAAATGTAATACGGAATATGGGTTGTCTTCATCATAAACTTCCGGGCGCTGGAAGCACTGCGGTGGAGGTGTGCGCGCAGTTCTTGCATTTTAGGGGCTAGGATCTGCCTGTGCCTGTGAAATGGCAGTAGCAGGAGAATGAAGCTGTTTCCTTTAAAAGAACCCAGTCACGGTGGCTACACATGTATCTCCATATGGCAGCATTGTGGAGCTGTGCTCTT